GCTTGACCCGATACTAATTCTTTCAGCGATGAATTCTTTCACATAAACACGTAATTCTTTGTTTCGCTTTGATCATTCATTAAAATATACTCTACGCGCATTCGTCCTGTGTTCGACGAGTACACGTTCCATTTTTCAATTTTATTGCGCGCAGAACCAGAGGTTTTTTCAACTAGATTCCACAGTAAACTGGTTAAATGCTCGGTAGTTCTAGCGTTAAATACCTCGGGTTGTACGGCTGCATTTGTCCGATTGCGAGCGTATTCTAATGTTAACGACGGTACGACCGTGGCTATTATATCCTCCAAGGCCTTGGTCATGCCGGACCCCTGTTTCGCGTATCTCGCGGTTATGTCGAATGGCGCGCACCCCTCTCCCCTAACCGGCCCGCAGTCGGCCATTAAGCCAACAATACCCTTCGGGATCAACATTTCGATGCTTCCCGTCAATGATCTTTCGCTTCCTGCGCGGTAATAACCTCAACGATTCAGCGTGAGTCTTTATCCATGAAGCCATTTGAACGCGTGATCTTCAATTGAAACCACTGAATGTTTCATACATGAAAATGCTAAACGCGCGATCTTCAATTGAAACGACCGAATGTTTCATACATGAAAATGCTAAACGCGCGCGATCTTCAAAGCGGCCTGAATCTAATCCTCGCTTTTACTTTCGCGGAAACTGATGGAATCATTGTGCGAGCCGTGCGTCCGCTAAGGCGATTAACTCGACGAAACGGACGCGTAACAGAACGATTTGATTTAATCGCGCGCGTGATCGTTTAATTGGAGAATATCGAACAACTGGAGTTCGCGCTGCGCGAACGGCTCCCGTAGGATGAAAGTGAATTATAATTGTTCGCGTCGCCGTTTACCGGCCAATTAGGTGAACAGTTTTAATTCGATACGGACTCCTGTTTAATTGAGGAAGTCGTTTGTTTTTATGTACTCGCGAGTATTTCATTCACTGTTTAGTACGACTTATATGTTACCGAATATATGTAATCGTATACATTTGTAGTTTCAAACATTCAAATACTGTTTTATCTTAAACTGATCAGTTCTTTCGTTTCTCGTTAAATATGAAATTGCATCTAAGTGTTGCAAATCGAATTCACCCTTCTCGAAAAACCCACATAAATTCTACTTCTGAAGAATAGTAGCTGTATCCACGCACTTACATAACAAATCGCAGATAATACCTTTATTGGATAATCAAGGTCGTGATGTACGTTCAATGCGCGTAACCTTGAATGCCTATATCTTGCACATCCCCAGCTACACCTAATATTCCACACATACACGATATCAGACATTGTTTCAACAATTTTTTCTATATTTATTTGTAGTATCACGATTGTACCATTTAAAGGTAACATATCAATGACACCCAAATATTCTTGAATAAATAAATAGAGCGTCATATTAACCCCTTGATGAGATAAGGACGATATTCTGTGAAACTAACTTGAAGAGAAATCACACGTACATTGAGGAACAAAGCTATTTTATTTCAATATTTCTCAAATTGATGCATTACACGTGTTCGCACTTTTGTCTCTCTGGCATTCCCCAGCCCATTATCTTATGTTTATACATTGTATACATGTGCATTGCCTGCACCATTGTCGCAGTGCAAACGACAAAAGAAACAGTGAAAAAAGGAATCGTCTGTTGCGCTGTGTCGCGCGGTCCAGTTTAGCGTTCGGCATCGAATGCTCGCGCGCTGCCGCCTGAGCGGAAAGTATAGCAAAATCGGCGCCGCACTCAACCTGTTAAGCTGTAATCGAATGAACCAACGTCGACGTGGACCTCAAAGTGAGAAACCAAGAGCACTTCTGACCGCAAAGGGTTAGGGACGTGGGATCTAATCGGTGCGCGAGGGTTCTGCCAGAATTGAATTCCCGAGTCGAAATGCTTCGTCGCGTCGAGATGACACGCGGAGCGTCGCTTTCGCTGTGGCGCCGGAACGGAAATAGCCGCGGAATACGTGCCAATGATTCGCGGGTCCGCGCGCGACGTAATCAAAACTCGGAGCTGAGACGCAAGGGACAGCCGAGCGTGACACCGATACCCGCGGCACCCCGGGAAATATTTACAAAATGCAGCCCCGTTAATGAGAAGGCCCGACAACAACGGCCATGCCCGGAATAGACCCATCGGCCGATATTATCGACGCGTTAACGCGTTGAACAATTATTACACCGCGCACGTGTTTGCACGGTTGTATAAGTTGCGAAGGTTCTGTGGAATTTTGCTGTTAGACACGGAAGAAAGAGTTTATTTTAAAAATAGAATTTATGTAGGATTTGTCGCAAGAATAGAATTCTTCGGGGAATTTGGTGTCTTAGAATCGTGTTCAAGTGGGATTTGTTGTTTTAACGCTAGAACTGATCGAAATGACCATTCCTTGATTTTTTTGCGATTACTGAAAAGATGTACCTTCTTGGGAAATTACTAAAGTTGATTAAGTACCTAAGCTGAAATGTGAAGCAGTTCAAATCTTAATGAACACACGCTTGTAAATTCTATAAAGAAATGTTCAAGTCAGTTTAACCTTTGCACTCCAGAGGCGCCTCTAAGTCACCAAATCTTTTGACACAGCAAAATTGTAAACTTTGATATTAAATATTAAACTTCGTACAATGCATCAACGTACGAAGTATTGAAAGAAAATAGTTTTCTTCCTCGATGCATGTGAGATGTCTTAATTCAATCTACGAAAGTGTCGTCTGTATCTCATTAGAAAATATTGAATATTTCCGGTGAAAAACTTCTGGAGTGCAAAGGGTTAAGTGACAGTTCTAGTGTTAACACTTGGTCAACCGACTGAAAAGGACTCTGACTTCTTCGTTATCTTCAACTGAACTTATTTAACTGACTTCACCAAGAACTTCGTTTTAAAGCAAGAAAGATATCTGACAAATAGCAAATAACTCGAATTCAAGACTTACCGAATAACAGAAGGAAAAACGAGGAAAATAAAAGGCAACGCGTTGCTAAGGGAAAAATGGGAGAGCTCGCGATTCGGTTGGCTAAGTGGCAACATTGAATTTATAAGCGGAATCGTTTTATTTTATTGTATTCATTTGCAGCTGCTTCGGATGCATCGAATTGATAGCTTAAGAATTGTATTAAGCAAACTGGCCGAAGATTGTCAGCTATATTTAAGTTTCTTCGAATGTTCGTGTCATTGTTCCGCGCCCGGCTGTAGCTGGTGCGAGTGCATAAAATCCATAGTCCAATAATTATGTTAAGCGGGCCGGCTGGAGGCGGTTATATTTAGACTCCAGGTGTTTCTGCAATTATAATGCATGTAAATCCGCGTAATGTAATCAGATTGGAGACTCGCGTGAAGTATAGTGAAGTGTATTTATTTTCAGCTTGGTGGTTTCTCGATTCAACTTTTATTTCGATTCCCGCGCTGCGCATACGCGTGGAGAACGAAAATTCACACGGATATCTTTGTAATATTTATTTGCAGAAATTCTTTGTAGTTTTCGTAACATAGAGAACAAAAAACAAATTATATTTAATACAACAATAATAGTGAATATTCACGGAAGAACTGGAGATTTCTCCTCGCTAATTTGAATACCCTCCAATTCCGCTTGAACATTTTAATTAACCGCGTTTCATTATTCAGAAAATGAAAGTCTTCCGATCGAATATGAACGATGCTCGGGTCGAAAGAGGAAGCGCATCCGCTTAGACTTCGAAGTTCAGCTTTTTATCGGATTACACTAGGAAGTTTCCAGTCGAATTGTGTGTGCTCGGAGTTCCGCGACAACTTTCGGTCCAGCTTAGCGGACTCGCTGCCGCCTGTAGCCACGGTGGAAATTCTATTTCCGTGCCATCTCGGTGTGAAGCTTCTCGGAATACCTCGGAACCGTGGCATTCTCAGCGCCCGATGAAAATAATTCTATAGGCTCCCGAAGCATGATCGCTTTTCCACTGCGATCGAACAGGACGAATCGAACTGCTGAATCCCGATTTCTTGGTTACGAATCAAGTTACAAAGTTCAGCACCCGTCAAAACGACGGGTTCCGTGAATCTAGCGTCAAATCAACCGAGGAATGTTGAACAGACGAAAATTTGATGGACGATCTGGAACATCTACAAAATAAACTTCCGCACTCTTTCGACATTGGAACTACGTGCCAGTCAAAATGACCGGTTTCGATTCTTTCGTTTCGCAATTATTGATATCTTAAGAGCACCGAATATTCGAAATGATCTTGGAAACAAATACTTCCACTATTGAGGTTTCTACACAATTTTGAAAAGATAATTTAACTCGGTGGTAGTGTTAGAAGCATCGACCACTCAAAACGATCTCGAAAATAGTTTCACTCGAACATTACAATGAACCTCTAAAGAAACTGAAAATAATCTATTGTTACAATTTTCGTAGTGATTACATATGAATCGTATTAAATGCTGGGTAGTTCTAGCGTTAACGTCGCCGGAAATATCTGAAAATGTTATGAAACAGCGCATAGGAACGGATGAAACCTTCCTCCAGTGCAACTTCTAAACAACAGACTCGGTTATTAGCAACCTCTTTACGGCGCTTCGTGCAACGGTGCGAGCAACGCGCGACGAAGCCCATCGCAAGCTCCCAACGTCTCGCCTTAAGTGCCTTCGACGAGTTCCGAACGGCGTTGCATAACCATTTACGACATTTAAGGACCGCTTTATTTTTCCCCGTGGTATCAGCTGATCGGAATCAAAGGAAAACATCTCGCGGCGCGAGTCCGCGCGCGCCTACACGCGTCCGACGCGGCGCGCGAAGCATGCAGTCGATCGTGTCACTTTTACCGAACCGGTTATTTTCGGTGGGTTCTATATCGCGTCGAACTCGAAATAGAGCATGAGTAGACCGAAGTACTATGTCCGCCGGCGGACAACAGACACGTCAAAATACCGCGTTGGACGCCGCTGCCAATCGCATCGGCGAGCGAATCATGAAAGACGCCTGGCTCCACGGATCACGGATCGTAGATCAGTCTTTCCTGTCGCGTTGTACGTTAACTACGCTTGGCACCGATTCCGCCTACAACTGCAACCTGTACCTCGCTCGGTGCGTGGCTCCGATTCAGCCAGACTCGCGAGAAACGAGGGCCGAGCGGAATTTCCTGAGGCTTTCGCCTTCGAGACGCGCGTGTTGTACAGATCGGTTCTGGCCAGATAGCGTGTCAGGGGTTACGTTCGGGGGATCCCATTCAGGTGACGGGATAAAGAGATTTATCGCGAAAAAAGAGACGTTTATCGTTGACGGTACGTTTGCCAAAAGTTGCTCATAAAGTCGCTGACATTGTCCGAGCGAGTCATCACTGAAAACTATCCCCTTTTGTGTTTTAACCTGTACGATACGCGCTCGAGCGTTTCACCCCTGGTCGCTGTAGAATGTTCGCTAGGTCGATCCAAATTTTCATTCATTCCTGTTTATCTACGAGCGCTGCTTTATGATCTTCTCGTGCCATGTGGCTTTCAAATAGAGCCCAAAGTTGAATAACTCAAATAAATGAATAACCCCAACGAACATTAACTACGAGACCTGCGGTAGTTGCGTAAGATCGATCGTGTGTAATGGGGTAATAGCTGTAACCGTTACACGTGCCATAACTGTTGAGCATAGTTCTAATTTCATTTTACAATTTCCTGTTAACGGTAAGAGCACAAAAGGCTTATAATAGCAATGACTTCACTCTATACAACTCTATAGAGCTGTTAATATCCTCCCGCTCTCTACAGTCGAGTTCCATTCAGGGTCCCACTCGAAACAGCACTCGCTCGAACCGATTTTACCGAAGCAAACCGACGAAAGTCCTCGTATTCATTGAAAACGTTAAACTCACTGAAAAGCGCGCCCTCCGTCGCCGTTCCTCCAATCGAAAGCAGCGCGCGAACGGTCACGTGAAGACGCTCCGAAACACCACTCCCATTCCTAGCTCTCCGAAGGCAGTACTAACCCTTAACGGACCGGAAGTATTTCAAGTTATCGCGAAAAACCACTGTAACGTAGAGAACAGACGGAAACGAATTATACTTAACGCGTTAATTGTAAATATTACAATAACAGTGAAAAAATAATACAACGATTTTTGCCATATAAGCGGATCCAGTAACAAAAAATGCCATGACGCTTCTATGGCGACATCGCTCCGTTAAGGGTTAAAAACGAAAGAGGAGAAAAGCACGCGAACGACGCGCGATACAAAGTTTCCACTTTCCTCGGGCAGAAGAGGCTCGGCGATTAGAATCCTCTAATCCCATGAGCAAATCTAACGCAGCTGACGCAAAGAGGTGTCCACCTGCCCCGAACGGATTCCATTTAGCTTGGTTAGCGGTGTCGCCGGTGAGACAGAAGAGCGGCGGCGCTCACGTGAGACGACGGCAGCCGCGTCTATTTGCTCTTCCTATTTTCGTAGTCGTCCGGTATATAAAGAACCCGTCCTCGGGACATTGCCGAAAGATTTGGCAGCGATCCGCGGTTTTCTGCGCCGCAGCGCTCGGGCGCCGTAGATAGAGCCGCCTAGCGCAGACGAGCAGGGGCATAGTTCGACCGGTGAAACGGTGCCGGTGGTGCGCCGCGAGCAGCCATCTTGTCGGTGCTCCGGTTTTCGCGCGGTCCCCGGTTCTCTCCCGAACGCCGAGTTCCCCTCGCCTCCCCGGGTCGCGATTTCGAATGAATTTCGAGTGGATTTCGAGTGGATTTCGAGTGGAACAGCCTAGAGAGGATACACCCTAATCGCCGTCGTCTCGTACAACGAGAAAACGGATAAAATCGTTCGAAAACAACTTCGAACGGCCTTACGGCGAAGCTTTCGAGCGACTTCGAGAGCGAACTTTCCAGGGAAATTTTCCACTCGATTCCGAGACGATTGTCGATTCGGATAATCTCGGTCGGTGAGCATCGAATCGCAATCAACGCGGTTTCTTTGGTCCTTTTCCTCGCAGCTACGGATGTCGTAATGCCGGCGCGATCCCGTCGGCTCGGCGAAGAAGAAGAGACCGTTATCGCTGATAACGCGTTGAGGATAGAGGAAGACGAGTGGACCGTGCGCATCGGTGATCGGTGATCGTTCCCGTGTTTTCGCGGGACACCCGCCGTAAAGAGTACACGTGCTCTCGAGCGTCTCGCGCGCCGTCGAAGTGGTTCGGTGTGTACCGCCGTCGCTGGCAGCGAACTGGGACGACACCAGTTGGCAGCGCTCGCGGATAAATAAGGCACGTGGAGTTGGTGAAATTTGTACTTGAAAGGGACTCGCTCGGTGGCGGGAAGGGGCCCGAAGGGAACTGGTGTCGCGGAGGGAATGACAGTGGAAGGATCGCCGGGAAGTGAACATGGGGAACACCGACAGTGTCCACGAGGTGGAGATGAGGTCTTTGTCGACGGTGACCGATGATCGTCCTCACATCGTGGTAAATCAAACCTTCAACTTTACCCGAGGATCTCGGCGTTCGCGCTCGGTTTCCTCGTTCGTGCGTTGCGAACTCCCGTGACGGCCATGATAACAATTCTTATCTGTTTCACTGGTACATCGAATCGCTGACTCTGCTTTCCGAATGTTTTCAAATGTTAATGCCAACGCAACCGATCGCTACTGTCGCAGTTTCATTGAATCTATCTATTTTAACTTTAAAATGTTAAATAGTAGGTCGATCAAATGAATTCTATCCAAAGATCGTTGCGGTAAGTCTATTGTAATATTCGTAGAAGAGTAACGTCAGCGATCGAGAGTGATCTTTTAAGGGAAACAGCGCTTTCGACGAGTGTATGTAGTAGTAAATTATGGAAATCGGACGAGAAATGAAATTCTGCAAGGAGAAACATGGAAGTTGCGCCGTTAGATCTGTAAACAGTGACGGTTTCAGGGTTGAAATTGATATTCAGAGCCACGAAACGACCAGAAACTTGTTGCACTTTAGCCGCAGGCTAGCCCAACAGGACGACGCCGATACTCGCTCGTAGTTCGGGAATCCTTTGATAAATCACGCGGCTCCGGCTGGTTCGCGAACGCCTGGGATGCGTCAAGCGCCATTGGTAACCGCGCGATCGGCTGGTTTCCCACGGAAAGTCGGCTGACATTTTCCAGCCGCGCCCCGTCGTACTCGAGAGATACACAAATAACAGGAACAACCGGAGAACCGGCTGAAAAATGACATTGTCCGTGTCGATCGTAGCGTAAACCCAGACTGTAACCGGAGACGGCGACGCCGCGCGACGTGCATATTAGGATAATAGAAATCCTGCTGCGGATACAATTTAAGCGAACGTCGACAGAGGACTGTCAAACGTAATGACCAACACTAATTTTAACTCATTCAACCGAAACGACGAGTTAGACTCGCGGTGCGTGACTTGGGCCAAAAGCAGTTTTTAAACGCGAGCTGGACTGTCGCTTGGAAATTTCGCGTTTCTACCGAGTAACACGGCACGCTATAATCTAACGTTACATTTTAGATTTGCTCTTGCCAGACGAACAATTTTACTACAGTTTCGTTCTTGATTTCACGCGAAGACAAATATTAGTAATAATTGTTAATTACTCGATAGTACAGTTACTACGTTACATTATCATCTAAACACAACTCTTGTTATCTACATCTATTTATTTTGTAGAATTTCAGTTAATATGTTATATTATCATCTAAACGCAACTCTTATTATCTACATTGATTTCGATTATCTCGCGATCGGTTTCAAGCAATCCAAAAATTTTCGAGCGCCTCAATTGAACGCTGTGTCGCAAGCGTCGATCCAAACGGTTTATTCGAAAGAAAAGCTGTTTCATCAGCATCCACGAAGGAACGTGTATCCCTCGCGCCGAATCTAAGAGCAGAATCGTGTTTCAGAAACGCGACATTAGCTCGCGGTGGGTTTCGAAATCCCGATCGATTCGACGACTGCAGCATTCGAGTAACAAAAAGCGGCTCCGAGCCGCGCGAGAATTGCGAAAGACCGCCATTGACAGGTCGAACAGGTTGTAAAAGCAGACCGCGACGTATACGTGCCCGGGCCGGGGCACAGGCGCCAGTAAATTGTATCTAGCGCGCGCGACTGGCTCGACACGCGAGAACGATAGAGAGCACAGTTTACGTGGAATTAGGCATATATTAACGCGTTCGCTGCAATCGTTAATTTCCTGAAACGCAGACGGCTAGACTTTCTTGACGCGCTCGCGGCACGTTCGAACGCGCCGGATCTAATAAAGCGGACGCGACGGCTGATGAATTATTGAAATACTCGGAATAAGCTGTTCAATCTCGTTTTCGATTTAACGCTAGGTTGCTTTAACGCTAGCCGGGCGTTTAATCTGTTGTTTAATCGGTTTACAGAGAAACCGATGTCAAGTTTCGATCTTGGAGACTGTAGGTTTCGAAATAGGCTGTTAGCATACATGTTTATGTAATGCATCGATCAAAATTAACACTAGGTTTGCGGAACGCGTGAAATTTACGCATATTGGATTTTATATTATTTTGTAAATGTTTACGCCGATTTTGATTGATGCGATCAATGACATGTACCCCAATTACTTACTATCGAATCTCCAGTTTCTACGATCTAAATAAACGAGCATCGATTCTTTTAGGAATAGTAGAATCAAGTGTACAATAAATGCCAATAAACCTAGTGTTAACACTGTCACGTCACCTGAATTCGGGTGAATTTCTTATGTAAACTTGAATATTCATTTGAGCGTATCGAACGAACGGCTTTAGCTTTGCTAGGAAACTGTTTCGATTACATAGTTTTGACGAGTGCTTGGCAGTCAGAGTGTTAATGTGAATTTTGATCGAGTAACTTTTATGAAATTCGGTATGAAAGAACGCGTGTCTGTTAGTAAGATTATTGTTGAAATATGTCTTCAGCGCTTAGGAGACACAGTTGCGAAATGTCTCGCGTCTATTTTCGTCCGGCGACAGAAAAATCGCCACGTATGCTCTATATCGCGGGGAATTAGTTGAGTTTGTTAGTTGTTAAGAATAATTGGAAAGCATTGAAGTAGCCGCGGGTATTTTTAGTTGGATCGCGAGCAAATGGCTTCGTTCGCATCAATGAGTTTCTGTTCGTTATCTTCTGAACTGTTTCAGACGACCGACACGTCACTGTTTATAGTAAATTTATTTTATCGGGGTAGTGCTATATGTTTACAAACACTTGACCCTCGCCTGAACTCGAGAAGCCAGTCGCAATTAAACGACTTTGTCGAATAGATATTCGAAGGCGAGAAAATCTGTTTGAAAGCAGATACGCGAACGCAGTGGTTTCATTCATTCCTTAGCAATCAATGTACGAGAGACAATGAGAATTAACATTTTTCTCGATTCAAAGACTTGGCCGATAAAGCGAGGAAACTCGTTTCGAAACAAGTTTCCGATGAAATAATAAAACATCCTGCCAAATCGGAAATCGCGTTTCCATCGCGTCACAATAAATTACCGATGCGATAACAGTTTACGATTCGATAAATCAACGAATCTATGTATATTCTCGATTTTACGCGAGAAGCAATAACTCCCGAAGTTAATAGCAACCTCGTCTGTTACAGAGAACACCAATGCGCCCAATGATAGCGGAATACGACCCAAAGAAGCACGGTGTGAAAACAGAACTTTCAGACATGGTTCTCGTCAAGTAAGTGCCAAACACGGTTTTAACGAAACCGACGCGAACGAACGGTTCAACGACAGTTGAGCAATTCACTATCTGCTACCACGACCAATCATCACCATTGCTTTACTTGCCAAACTCAAATGCTCCGTGCTCAAGCAAACGTGAGTGACAACCCCGAGGATCATATATTGTGCATTCCGTCGTATATATGTGTATTCTCTCATTCTCTATGCTCTGTTGAATACTGTTCGTTACATACGTGTGTACGTATATATACGTATATACATATATACATCTACCTACCTGCATACAGATACGTGTATACATGTATATCGAGATACATACATTTTTGTTGTTTTCTTTTGTTCCGAGTATTATACTATGATCGTTGAATATCACTACTAATAACATCACGCATACCGCCTGACCGCTGACGTAGAATTCGTAGCGCGTAGCTGGCACCAGAGATGCTTGGACGAATGACCGCTGAATCGTGACGATTCTGTTGCTAGTTTGTGCAGAGATGTGCTTCCATTTTATTCACCGTGTGCCGTGCCACGCACTCACGCCGAGTTTCAGGATTTCCGATCCCCCGTTCACCCGACTCAACGTCCGACTTTGAGAACTTGATCTCGTGTGTCGGGTGAATCTCCTTCGACCTTTCACGAAATCTGCAATCTCAGAATCGCCGCAAACTACTCGGAGATTCGTTGGCGCGCAGCTTACCGAAGGAGAACATTCCGAAGCTTCAGAAGCTTGTCGATGTCGGGGATTACGTAGGGACATTGAACACGCTTCGAAATTACCGCTTGAACTCAGCTGAGCTTGAAATCTTCGAAGTTCTTCCTTCGATGCGGATCTTTGCGTTCGCGTGGATTTTCAACGGAGTTCCTTTCGTCAGTTTTTGCAATAGACACTAGAACGCCACGGTTTATCCGAATGCGGATTGTAGGATCGATAGATTTCTCTTAGATCGACACTGCAACGTGCTACTGTTGCCAGTGGGATGTCGAATATCGTTGAAGCGACGCGTGTTCAGCGTTCAGATCGAAATAACTCGCTTTTTCGCCACGGATAAATTGGAATGCGCAAAGTGTAATGCAAATGGACGACTGCTTTCGCTGTCGGAAGTCGTTTTCGCGATGATAACACGTGAATTCGATTATGGGAGATACGTTCTTAACGCAACGGTATCTCGGATTAACATTTCGACGGCCATTGTCGCAGATACTTGACAATGATCACTCGATGATCCTCTCATCCGCGGAATCGCGTCTATTCGGGAGAATACGTCATCCACGCTTCACGCCTTCAGAACTCATTACATTTCCACAATTACATAAAATGTCCCAAGTCACACGTGTCTCGAATCGCCAGGAATCATAAATTTGTTTCGCGTATCGCGAATCGCATCGCCTAATTGCAAGGAATTACAGCTATCGCGAAATTCCTCCGGAAGAAGGGGAAGCGACTGGAATAATTTCTCGCCGATAATTTCCACGTGACTCGTCCCTCGCGTAAGCTCCGCGTCCCGCGAGCGACTTCTATTTCGCTGACAGTCGCTCGTATTTCAAACGCTCGCCGCATACCAGAATAATCGCGGAGCAAGTATCTAGACACGCGCCGTCAAAATGTTAACGGAAGCAGATAGCTAAGGGGAAAAGATGCGCGCGCGGCAATAAATCAGGCGGTCTGCATTGACGGGCGACGAAACGAACGAACGCGGTTCTAGCGGCGTGTCGGAACATCGTCTCGCGAAGCGGTCTCGTGACTCGATCCGCGTGTCGTCGGATACGCGAAAGTCGGCGCGGAACGGGACGAGATCGTTCGGGTCTCTTCGGCGATCGGAGGACGCACGGTCTCTCTGCACAAATCGTAGACACAGTAGTGGACCGACGGAGAAGCAAATTCGGGAAAAGACACGAGAGGAAAAATGAGAGGATACAATATACGTGAATCATGCACCCGGAAACCGATTTCCCGCACAAACGAGCGATTCTCTCGATCGTCGATTTAGCGGCAACATTGCGCAATCTTGATACAACCCTTTGTTTCGCGGAAACTCGGACCTCCCCTTTGCTGCACCTTTCAATTGTCTCTTTCGATCGTTTTCTTTCGTCTCGATAGGAAGAGCGCGTCGCGCGGCGTTTCCCCCGAGAATCGCCGGCCGCCATTTTGCCGGGTTCCGTTGCGTAAGCCGATTCGCGCGACGAACCGCCGGTAATCGCGACGTTGGCGACGCGATGAAACTACGAATAGTAATTTCGAACAGTCTCGTCTTCGCTGGAACGACGAGTCTTTGCTGGAAGTCTTTCGGACGTGTACTTTCGTCGCGGGCGGGAAACACCTGTTGGACGGAGAGCGTATTTCGATCGTCGAGCGTGCAATTATCGGGTAACTCCGTGACGGGCAATTAGACGGCAAGGCAAATCGCGTCGACGACATTCCGCGGCGCCCGTCGGGACTGGAATCTTATTTCACGATTTCTTATTTAACGCTGGATTTACGGCACCCGTGAATTTGACAGATATTGAATGCTTCGAACGTTGTTTAGTAAGTTTCAGTCAACTTTGATTCGCGCAGTTACGCGAGTACGCGTGATACTCTGGTTTTGAAGCTACTGAATTTTCGATCGAATAAGATTCATCGTTATTAACCCTTTGCGGACGAGAATCTTGTGAACTTACGGAAACTCGTCGAGAAGAGAGCTAAGTTACGCATCAAAGTCTTAAGAAAAAAGAACCACGCATCTATCTCTCGTCATTCGAACAATCAAGTTCGTTTGCAGCTTTCGAACGTAGATGTCAAAGCTCGGAGTCGCCATTATGGCGGCATTCGTCCGTTAACCCTTCACGAAATACATATATTTTTGTACCGGTCGCAAAGGGTTAATATTTGTCACAGACATTGAACCGCCGTACTTCGTCCGACAGTAATTAATACGCCCCGTATCGAGTAATTTCGCGACAGTCGAAGACGACAAACGTTATCGGGGTGAAGTTGAACCAGGAGAAGGGGCAAGGTGCAGTAAGGGGGAGTCCTCGCGGCGGTTTCTTCGTCATTGGTTGAGGATGCTTCGTGAACTGAGGCCATGCGGTGTGCGAGCAGTCTTCTATTCCTCTGAAGGATGTAAAGAATGACAATTGTCTTTATTATATAATATGTGCATTTATATGATTCCAGACTTGCGTATAAACTGCGGGCATAGATTCGGGCTCTATGAAAGTGCTCTGCGAATAACGTGCAAGTGAACAAAAATAATAATAATAAAACTAAACATTAAAACGAACAATAAAAGAGTAACACGGAAACGAACAAACGATATTATATATATATATATATAAAAAAAACACGGACGAACCAAAACAAAACGAACGACACCGTTTATAAGAGTGAGTACGATCTCCGATGGACGATCCGCGACTTTTTTTTTCAAACGAGAAAACACGGTCCGAGAACGTTCCTCGCTCGACGAACGAAAAAACTAATGGACTTCCCGGTTTCGCCGGGGCAGACGGACGGAACGAAAGCTGACGGAGAACGGACGGAAAATCGGTCGGACATCGGATCGCGAGCAAAGTTCCGCGACGCACGACGGACGAACCGTGACGCAAACCACCGACGTAAACGTGCCTCCGAGGTATACATATGTATGTTACACGTAGCCTGGAACGACGAGTTCCCTCGATTTCGGATTTCGCAGTAACTTCGTTCGCCTAATCGAACCGACCGAGAAACGGTATCAAGCGAGAGTCGAAATTGCTCGGTTCGGCAGCTAAAGAAACCAGAAACGAAAACGATTGGCGTCGAGTCTTCGAAACGTGGATCGCTTGACGTGCGCGGAGCTTTGTATAAAAAACAAACGAAAACAAACGAACGATCGGAAAAGCAAACGAAAGTAAAAAAGGAGACGAAAAATATATATATATATATAACACGGAAAACACGAAACGAGACGGAACGGAAACGGAAAAAAATCACAAGTAACAAACGAGAACTGTATTTAATAACGGAAAAAAAACACACGTTCGGCGAGAAGGTGCAAAAATGTCTGAAACGAAAAACGAAGGCTTGTTAGTCGTCGTACTGCGTCGTGGCGCTGGCCGTCGCGGTGATGCAGTGCGGTGGTTGCAGCTGACTCTAAGCCTGATCGCGGCGCGTGAACTCTTGTCACGTGTCACGTGACACACACAGACTCTAATCAGAGGAGCTTTCTCGACAGAAAGCTCTCGCACGACTATGGAGAGAGCTACCGCACCTAAATGGGTACCTATATGCCT